TATTTGTTAGTTTTTATATAAACTGTTTAGCTATAGCTGACTAAGCTAAGTTGTATATATCTGTAGTGCTAATATATTAAACTGATGTTATTATTTGTTAGTTTTTATATAAACTGTTTAGCTATAGCTGACTAAGCTAAGTTGTATATATCTGTAGTGCTAATATATTAAACTGATGTTATTATTTGTTAGTTTTTATATAAACTGTTTAGCTATAGCTGACTAAGCTAAGTTGTATATATCTGTAGTGCTAATATATTAAACTGGTCTAAGTATATACTAGTTTTTATGATATATAAACTTTGCAGCTATAGTTGACTAAGCTAAGCACTACATATCTGTAGTGCTAATATATTAAAATTGTAAACTGGTCTTATTATATATTATTTTGGTTATAAACTTTGTAGCTATAGCTGACTAAGCTAAGCTGTACATATTTGCAGGAACTGCTGATAGCTTTGTCTTCACTCTTGTTCCTCGTATGGGAGTTTATTTAGCTACAGGATACAACTCCAATTTCATGTACTTGGCTGTCAACCAACAAACATTTCCTAATGGAATGGTAAGCTTTAGTTATTTCAGGTTTTCTCTACATCAAATTTTCTGAGTTTACAGAGACTGTCAAATCAAAAATGTCCTTGCATTGAAATACTAAATATACATGTTTCTAAGACTTTTGATTCTCTTTGGATAAGCTACAGTGAGGTCATTTATTAGGTTTGCTCAGTTGTATAAGCATTATTATGAAGTCATACATTCCACAGGATAAATTAACTTCAAAATATTCATACCAATGCAGATCTAAAGTAATAGTCAGCTATAAGTAAAAACAGAACACTTATTTCTCTGACTGGACTGGATGTTTTACATCTGCTTTGGCATGTTAACCTGTCAAATGATTGTGCATGGGATTGGTCCATTGGACTGACCCCATATAGGAGAACTAATGTTGACTATAATTCCAAATTTACTATATGTATCTACACAAAATGTGTCGAGTTTTTAGTAAAATGTACAAATTTGTTGTACACAAAAATTCAGATGTGTTACAAATAAAAAGTAGTTGTATTCGTATGTCTGTGAATGGATAACGTCAGTCTCACTCAGGTTCTGACAAGTCAAGGTGCAAGGTAATGTTCATGTGAAGAAGTAACATACTTTTGCCTATCATACACTTTGCATATTGCATAACCTCTAGAATCTCTGAAATGCATATCTACAGTTTTTTCAGTATCCCTATGTATTTTACTTGTATTTACTTTTCCACCACATACTGTCTCTAAATAAGCAATGTAGGGTAAAATGTATAGTTGATAACTGACATCAAAAATGTACCATGTTCAATAGTACTCTGTAAAAGGTCATGGCATGCACACTTTGACCCTAACTGTACACATTGGTTAATGGGTAAATGGTAAGCATTTACTTTTTTTGAGTAATTCATAATATACCTGTAACAGTTAAACCATGAGAAGACATTGAAGTGATAGCAGTGGAGACGGCTTTCGAAGTTTTAAAAGAACATACTTTTATTTGTAATTACCAATAATGAGCACACAAACCTTTACCCTGTTGCTAAAATTTGACTGTTTATGTAACATACTGTACCATGCAGGTGTTGCACAAAAGGGGATGTTACTTACATGCATTGTTGGAATTTCATTTCCCATAACTATTATTTAAAAGTATTTTTGGCTCTAAAAGAGAAGTTTTACTGATCACTTTAAATGGTTAGTTACCACTTTTTTTATTAAAAATCCAAATAAAAAGGGATTTATGATAAACAAAAGGAAAACACTTTTCCCAATATAATATTTTATTCCAATATGCCCTTGAACAGTGAATTTGGATACTTAATTTTTACAATTTTTTGGTTGTTTAGTTCTGTGCTGTAATGGCAGAATCATGTAGTCCAGAAAGTCATTCTAGTTGCTTGATTTCTTTTGTTCTCTATAGTAGGTAATGCCCCTTCTGCTGGAGAGGATATTGCAGTAACATATAGCATTCAGGTTAAAAGGATTGACACTGTAATATCCTTTGCTGGCTAATTAAGACATTGACTGAATGTAACAGCTCACCAGTGCTGTGTGGGAACAAAGGTCATGAGGAGACTGTCGAATGGGCAAAGATATGGAGCTTAACTGTTGAATTTCAGTAAAATTTTTTTAGCCAGTTCTACTAGGAGGTTATAAAATAGACTTTCTTGTAAGATCATTGTGTTTAGTTTAGAGAGCTGTGGGACTAGCACAGCCTGTTAGAAGTGATTGTATTTCCGAAACATTATTGCCTCCTTTCACACTACCGCTATTACTCGACTGCCAGGGTTTCTTCCTTTGCCCACCTAAGAATTGTTCTGTTTTTTTCTCGCTTGATTCCGAATTTTATACCCCATTTAATTTCCCTTTGCGGTATTTGTTTCGTGACAATATCCACCTGTGTCAATGCTCCCTCTATCCTGGTACTATATATAAGCACCTCATTTAGATGATGTCATCACTTTTTCTCAACAAAGGTTTACTAGCAGATTTCCTTTTGTTATGATAGGAGATACTTTGAGCTTTTTTCGTGTCATAAAATTGATTTTCATTTAAAAAAAATTATTTTGTTTGACAAGTTGATATAGGGCAGAAAGTCCCAGATTATTGTTTCTGGCATGTAGGCAAATCAGGTCTCTCCTATCTCACCTCTGATATCTAGCATTGCTCAACAATTGGGGGGAGAGGGATTCACTCTTGATTGAGACTGTCAGTGATCTTATTGCAGTGAGATGGAGACATGTATACAGTTTGGTAGTGTTCCTCCAGGGGCTTTGAGGCTGCAATTGAGGGTGATCCTGGACAATCTGGAGAGAATTATAATTTGCTTTTTCCTGTGCCTACTTTTATTCTTTGGCTTCTCAGGAGAACCCTTTGGGATAAGCTGGCTCAGTTTTTTGGTTTTTTTTCAATTGGTCCATTGAATCTGTGATGTTTTGGGTCTTTCCCCAGTTGCTTTTGAGCCAACACCTTACTTGATAGCTGAAAGGCATGGGAGTGACTACTTAGTTTCCCTTCATCCACTGACATTGTGGTTCATGCAGGAAGGTTTACTGCTCACTTACATGAAGGGACAACTATGCCTTATCCACCATGGTTATCAGAACTATGTGATTTAGCCTTCCACTGCCAGATGGAAGCATATTCCAACTCTTAAAGGATACATCTGCTCCTAAAAATGAGGGGTGCTAGAGCAGGCTTTGTAGTTAACCTGAGTACATCAGTGACCCCTGGTGGGACAGTGGTAACTCTATAGACTTACAATTCTAAAGCCCAATGTGTTGTTTTCCGAAACTAAACTTTGTTGGAAGACTCAGGATCACCACATCCATTAATGACGAGCTGAACCCATTGTGAGCATGCACATTGGTTTGATTGTTGGCTTCTACATTCATCCCTGTTGTCATTGGCATCTCGACTTTCATTGGCTCCTACAGGGGTCCTGGTTCCACCCCAATTCCAGGATCCCGTCCTCCGACATCAGCCCCTCAGTCCATTGGTACCCAGAATAGATTCTGTCCATATCCAAGGGTTCCTCAGCTCGGTAGGAATGCCACCAGTGGCCTTTAGGTTCTGTGGGGGATTGGCTTCGAGAATTTCTGGAGGTGTGTAAACTTTAATCATGGATACATGGGCACAACAAGTCCTTGAATTAGGATTAGTCATCTTCACCAATATTATCCACCTAACTTGTAGAGTTTCTGTCTCCTGCAGATTTTGGAACTTAGTTCCAGGGATATAATAGTTTAGTTGTTCTGGGGGTAGAGAGAGAGTCATGCCAGTTCTTCTGGGTTTTTTATTCCCATTTGTTTGTTGTGCCCAAGAAGACAGGATATTGGTGTCTAGTCATCGATTTTTCTTGTTGATATCAATTCCTTGATTCTCCAAAGCTCACATGTGACTCATTCCACACTCTGAGTTGTCATTTTTTTACTAGGATTGTGGTTGTCCAAGATCGATGCAGTTGGCTCCTCCCTTAACATTGCCATAGTGGTGGCATTCCACCACTATTTGCATTATTTTTGCACAAAAGTCGGGTACTGCAGTTCAGGGTTTTTACCTTCAGACTAGCATTGATACTACATGGGTTCTGCTGAATCGTATGAGCATTTTTCAGGTCACCTCTATTTCCTAGCTCTGTGTATTTCATGGAAGTGTGGTTACTGCTGGCACTATCTCATCACTTGTTGGAATGTCATGCCCAGATTGTACTTTCAGAAACAACCAAGTCAGGCTTTGTTATTAGAGCTTAGGCATTTATTCTTGCTCCCACTGAGTATATCATATCTCAACAGTCAGGAATTCCAAGGTTTATGGACAGATGAAGAATTCTCTCTACACAATGTTTTAGACCTTCTTGCTCTTCAAAAGGCAATGCCTCATGGTCTGGGCTTATTAAGGGAAAAATCAACAGATTTCACTCCAACAATTCTACAGTGGTGTCTTACAAGGAGGCACTTGATCAAGGGCTCCTTGTTTCCTAACCTTGAATCTCCTTTCTCGAGACCACCCCTGTCATGTCACCCTTCTAGCTGCCCATGTTCCACAGGTGATGACTATTGTAGCAGATCAATTGTCTCAACCCAAACAGATTCTCCCAACAGAATAGATACTGCATTGCAAGGTTTTCTGTTGCATTAGCTCTCATTTGGAACACCCAATAACTGGCAATTTGGTCTCCAGTACCTCACCCTTGGGTTTTAACAATGGATGCATTCTGTCAGCATGGGACGGGATTACAATGCTAGGTCTTCCCTTCAATTCTTATGTTACCCAAGGTACTAAATATGATTTGTTCCAACCCATTGTCAGGTCATGTTGATAGCATCAGGTTGGCAGCTACTCCCTGGTTTCTGCTTCTATGGTACCTTCAGGAGTGCCAACCTCTTCCACTTCCTCATTGGCCTTCTCTATCCTATGGCTATCCTTTGCATGGCATTGGGGTTTAATTTCTGAGGTTGCCAAGTCATTAAAATAGCACACATATTGGTAATGGTGTATTGAGAGGAGGTTTAACCCACTTCAATCAGAAGTGCCAACCATAATTCATTTTTTGACTTGGCTCTTTGGCTATGGTTTTACATCTTCTACATACACCCAGTATAAGGTGGCCTCGAGACAAAAATACTCTTTGGCTTCCTCAAGTCGCTTTGGGTCTTTTGTTTAAAATGACCATTCCAGTTACCTAACTGGTTTATTAAGGTTACATTACATGCTTTTTCTCAACACTTGTTGTAACCTTAACCTCATGTGACATGTATCACCTTTCCCTGAAGGTTTATATTTCATTGCTGCTGACTTATAGACATTGCCAATCGGAGTGGTTTGCACTGATTGCGCACAGGATGATTTACAATTCTACCTACATCCTCAGACCAGTTCTTTTCCCCTAAGACACTGTCAGACAGGGAAGGGGATAAATCCTTTTCACCAGTTTATCTGACCACTATTTCTCACTTTTATGGCCGATCAGATTTCAATTGTTTGTTATATTCAGTGAAGGTCTTGAAGGTTTTGTTGCCCACAC